TGTGATATTAAAAGTTTGTAAATTCAAGTCTCAAAGACCTTGCTAGAAGTAGAAAGAAGATTTGACAATAGTTTAAGGGGTCATAGTGATCATCAAAGTTTTTAAAAATTAAAAACTTTGATGATCGCTATAATCCCTAAACTATTTTTAAAAATAGTTTAGAGATTATAGAACAGTTTTGTTTGTGACAGAAACCACAAGCTGTAGAACAGTTTTATTTTTAACAGAAACCACAAGCTGTTGAACAGTTTGTTAGTCTGCGACAGAAACCACAAGCTGTTGAACAGTTTGTTAGTCTGCGACAGAAACCACAAGCTGTTGAACAGTTTGTTAGTCTGCGACAGAAACCACAAGCTGTTGAACAGTTTGTTAGTCTGCGACAGAAACCACAAGCTGTAGAACTGTTTGTTAGTCTGCGACAGAAACCACAAGCTGTAGAACTGTTTGAATGTGTAACAACAGAATAACCTATTTCCCTTGAATGACTGCAGGATATATTTTTGAAAAGTATATTGTTATATATTTTTCAAAAGTCTCTATAACCTTGTTTTAAAGTATAAAACAAGATTTAATTTGAGACCTTAGCATCAGGCAATACTTTTTTGCATCAGTTTCTTGCAATATTTAAAAGAGATTTATTTTCCAAAGAGTTGTTCTTGTGGGAAAGATGAAAGAAATGATAAGAATAAGATATAAGAGCTGCACAAAAAAGAGAAAATAATATGGGATATAGATATAAAAAAAAGAGATATAGTGAGATTTAATTTAAAACTAACAAGAATTAATAATAGCTACTATGCCTCAATTGTTTCAGTACAACTAATCAATCCAAAAATTTAACAAAGAGTTCTTTATGTGGTCTTTATAATGCACACCAAAAGCATTAGCAGTCAATTAATGCCTAACATGGCACTTTTGATATATTGATTACAAATCTCTAGTGGTTACAGTGATAATAATAAAGTTAATTTTTTTTTTAATTATTTATTTTTTACTTATTTTAGTGGTATAAAAAATTTCTTTAAAAAAAAAAATTCTATGAATTACAATAACATAATTTTAATAATTTTAAAGCAAGTTATTTTTTTTACTCTCTACATAAATTACATTCTTTAAATTCACTTTAAAGTCCCCATTTTACTCCAAAGTATCCCCCTGCTTTTGTGTTTAAAAAATAAAACAAAAATTTTAGTTTTAATTAAAAAAAATTAATTACTTGTATTTAATTGTGATGATTGTTTTCAACATTTGATTGAAGATTGTGATGTTTGTTTTCAACACTTAGTTGATCATTGTGCAATTTCATAGATGATTTTATAGCATTAAACTCTAAAAAAAACTTTTTTATTTACATTAGTATTTTTAATTATTCTAATTATTATTTTTAATAAGATGATTACAAAACAAAAATGTTTTTCTACTTTAAGTTTTGTGGCTATTTGTATAACTTGGTACCTTATATCATACATTTTTTTAAAACTTTTTTTGGTAGTTTTTTTTGCAGTAGTTTTTGAAAATTTTATTTGTTACATCAAGACACCTGCAATGAAAAGTATGTTCTTAAGACATCAAAGTTTGAATCAATTTTGGATATACGAAGGAAATACAGAAAATTTGGAACAGATATGGTTTCCAATTTTAAAATTTATGACAATAAAAGGTGTAATTTACATTTTTTTATAATATTTAAAATTTGAGTATGTTGTGGTCTTATTACTATTTTTTTGTTGTTGTAATTTTTGCTTTTTAATAATATAATATTAATATAGCTATGTTTTGGTTCTTAAGTAATTTTATATAATATTATTTTAATGAAGGTATTGCTCTCAACCAAACTTGTCATATGTAAAGAATTCATTGAGCAATTTTAACTTTGATTCAATAATGGCTGAAGTATTATTTTTTTACCAAAAATCATTAGTTTTTCAATATTACATATGTTTAAATGGTTTACTTAAACTGAATCTAACTAAAGTATTTTTCTTCTAGGTTATTCAACAAGTAGAAGAAAGGAAAATCATCAAAAATAATTTCAAAAAGTTTTTATATGTATATAAAAAAAATAAAAATGTACACAATTTTTATTTTAAAAACTTTTTTTTTTTGACTTTTTTTACTACTTCGCAAAATGCTGTTTTTTACTGAATTTATTATTTCTCTTACGTTATTTTTTCTATTTATCTTATTACTTATATAATTCAGCAAATTTGTTTAAAATGGTTATATATCTGTTTTAAAAAAAAAAAAAGTGTAGTAAATATTGAATTTATTTAAATAAAACTTGAGAAATGTGATTTTTTAATACTGATTTTTATTGTACTTTTTTAATATTTAATACTAATAAATAATTGTAAATAATTGCAAAATAATTGCAGTAGTGAGGTAGTGGTGTAAAAATTGTCTAATGCGTGTATTTAAGAAATGTTAATAAATAGGTGAGTTTGTTTATAGCAAACTCACCTATTTATTAACCTAATATATACAATATGTTAGATATAAAAAGTAATTATTTATATACTTTTTTTAATAAAGAGGGGCAACAGATAAACAAAATGAAAAAGTGCAACATATGAACAAAATGAAAAATGCAACAGATGGACAAAATGAAAAGGTACAACATATGGACAAAATGAAAGGTGCAACAGATGGACAAAGTGAACAAAATAGGAACAGTCAGTTTTAGTCATCAAAAATAAAAGAAGAAGTCTTAAAAGTGATGAAACTTTTTTAATAAAAAAAAGATTTTCATTTTAGCAGAAAAGACACATGGGTCATGAAAATTTTGTTAAATACTTAAACTCAATTTGTCAAACTTTTGATGCAACAACATTTTGTTGAGTTAAATACTTCAACTCAATTTGTCAGACTTTTGATGCAACAACATTTTGTTGAGTTAAATACTTCAACTCAATTTGTCAGACTTTTGATGCAACAACATTTTGTTGAGTTAAATACTTCAACTCAATTTGTCAGACTTTTGATGCAACAACATTTTGTTGAGTTAAATACTTCAACTCAATTTGTCAGACTTTTGATGCAACAACATTTTGTTGAGTTAAATACTTCAACTCAATTTGTCAGACTTTTGATGCAACAACATTTTGTTGAGTTAAATACTTCAACTCAATTTGTCAGACTTTTGATGCAACAACATTCTGTACTATTTGATAAAAAAGAGTAACATAATGATATAATAAACAAAGTAATCTACAATAAACTCTCAACAAAAAAGTTCATATATGCAAAGTCCTATATTTGAGGATTGATAGTAATGAAGATTGATTATATTTGAAGATTGATAGTAATGAAAATTGATTATATTTGAAGATTGAAGTGGCTCTAAAGAGGAAGAGTCATGGCAAGTTAAAAAAGTTCAATTTCAAATTTTGTTCTTACTACAGTTTTTCCCAAAATAATGTATACACTCTTTAATAATAATGTACAGTCTTTCAATACACTCTTTGACTTTAAATAACTATTAAACTTTTTTTTTCTATTTTAAATTTGATTTTGGAGTAGGAATGACAAATACTTGGCTTACACTCGTGCAAAAAAAGTTGTTGTGAAAAAAACCTTGGAAATGTGAAAATAAAGCTGAAGTGCAAAGATGCTTTACAAGTGAGTTTCACAGAGATGCTCCAACATGCATCACCATTTCACAAATAGTTGATAACTTTGAGAATTATGGGACCATCTAGTGAATGAGAAGAGGACATATTTATATCAGAACAAGCCCAACTACAAAAAAAGATGTTATTGCTAATGTCCAGAATTAAATTTTTTAAACTAAAAAATATAATTATTTTTTAGTTAAACAATATAAACAAATTATAAAGTAACCAAAAATAACTTTACATTTATTCTTAAAAATTTAATTAAAATTAAGTTTTTAAGAATAAATTGTAAAGTTATTTTTGGTTATTTTATAATTTGTTTATATTGTTTAACTAAAAAATAATTATAATGTTAATGGTTTAATTAAAAAAATATGACAAAGAATGGGAGTTGCTATATAAAGGAAAAAATAGTTACTAAGTATTTTTATTGCTTCACATGCAGTATTTTTTGATATTTTAGATATAACACTTTCACACATTTTGCAATTTTAAGTATGTTTATGTCGAATGTTTTCTAAAAATTACCATGACAGAGGCCTGGGAACAAAAATACCCAAAAATGTTTGACCTCTCCCCTCTGCCCAAATGTGCAGTGATGTAATAAAACTAGATCACTGCCCTCAACTATGCTATTGAATAAATAAACTTTTCAACTTTACTATCTTATAGTAAATTTAAATTGATTGACAGATCTTAAATGTCATTTAAAAATATTGTAACTTCAAAAGTTATGATCATGCAAAATTTTTAACCCCCTCATTTTTTTAGGGGGAATGGTTTCAAAGCACCTTCATTTGGCGTATGCATGAATATACTTAAGTTTGAAATTTGCATAATGCGTAAAAATGTCATATCTAAAACATCAAAAAATCCTGCGGACACCTATGTTGTGAAAATATCTTTGATAAACTGTAGTAAAAAATATTTTTTAAAAGACAGAGCTTTTAATCTTAAATCTTTTTCATTGTTCATTAGTTATCACATATTTTTATCACTAGTTATATTTTGTTTATCATTAGTTATATTTTTATTTACAATTTTAGATTACAAGTGCTGAAACTAATTTAAGGTTTGCTATTCAAACTTTTAAAACTTGCTCAAAAGGCTGACTAAATAAGTTATAATCATTCCTAAATTGGCAATTGTGCAGTGGTTAATCAACTTATTTATCTTGCCTTTAAGTTAAAAAAAAAGGTAAACAAAGAAAAAACAGGTTGATTGTGGTTCTACCTGGTTGGTGGTGGGGTCTTATTTAAAAACGTTTTGCTGAAAACAATAGTTTTAACACCTGCACTATTGCCAAAAACTAGATCATAATGCATTTTGTTGCATTAAATTTTTTTAGATCAAAATCATTACAAGATTGTTGCATGAGTTATGGAAAGTAAGCACCAATTGATACTTTTATTTCTGAACAAAATATGTGGGGTGGGGGTTAATAAAGCATGTGGGGTGGAGGTTAATGAAGTATGTAGGGTGGAGATAGTGCTATTGTTAGTTAGTGCTACAGGTTAGTGTATGTTTTATATATATATATATACACTTACATATCTTTATATATGATATAATTTTATTTTATGTTTACTAACTCTAAAAGTTAGTTTGGTAAATCTAATTATTTTCTGTTTAATTTTATTAACTATAGAAGAAAATGCTATAGCGAAAGTGGTATTACAAAGGAAACATTTGAACTTTTCAGAAATAAACAGTAAGAAGTTTTTTCCTTTTTTTCTTGTTATGTAGTAAACATAGCTTTCAAGTGGTAAATCTTTTACTCTCTAAACCAGAGTTATGGTATTGAGGGTTAAAATTTGGAAGAGAGTTAAACGTCAGCTATTAATGACAAATTTAATGACTTTAGACATGACAAAATCATCGAATTTGGCTGTGCAATGCACTCACACCTGCCAAGTAAACAGAAAGGTCTTAGAAAATGAGGGGGTCAAAAATCTTTTTAAAATCTAATAAATTGGAGAGCCAGAGTTTTAAAAAAGCAAACAACAAAAACAACCAATATTACACAATATTGAATGGCTTTAGTAAATAAAATTAATTCTAACTTAAAGAAATAAAGAATGCTTTAAAAACTTCACTCACAAAAAATTCCTTTTTTTTTTGAGATAAAGTTTTTCTTTAACATAATTCACCTCACCAGGCCAAGGTGGTACTACAGTCGAGAAGGCTATTTTTTTTTTTTTTTTTTTATTGTATAGAACTCTAAAACAGGAACCTTGACAAACAAGGCCACTTCATAGAGAAGCAAGTTAAGTGTGATACTACCAGGAATCTGGTGAGGGTAATCTGAAGTCAGAACTTCATGCTTGCAAAGCAAGTGCTCTACCACTACACCAGTATAAATTAAAGACCACTTAATTGTTTTTAATAATTTGGTCATAAACATTTTTTGGTATCATCATCAAAATGAAAATTACTTCATAAGTTGAAATCACAAAGGAAACAATGGTCTCTTTTCTGGGCGATGAACATAGAGACTCTTGCTTTTACTGTCTCAAGCTTTCTGGGCTTTGCCTGACTCGAGTGATCAAGTGGAGCATGTTTTCAGCCATGAAGGCATAATTGTGTGTTCTTATTGAGCTTTGATGTCAAATTTGATGACAAATTTTAAATGTTAAATGGGATGTTAAATGTTAAAATTGATTGAAAAATGCGTTATGTGCTGTTTACTACTTGAACCAAAAGTTTTGACTTAATTTTTTAAAAAAAAAGTTTAGGTTTTTAAATCTTGATTTAAATCAAACAAGCCTTGCTTGCTTGACTTAGGATTTGACAAAAACAATGAGTTAGTCACAGTTCTTTTCCAAATATCTTGTTATATATTTCTTATTTTCTTTATACTAATTATGTACTTTAATTGCCTTATCAATATTACGTAAACATCTCATTTTACTTTTAATGTAAAAGTTATGATAAAAACAAGCAATTATAAAATAATAAAAGTTTTATCTAATTTTTGTTTTTATTTATATGAATTAAAAATCACATTACACATTAAAAGTTAAGTCATGTTATATAAATTAGTTTCAATTTTTTACTTTTATATTAATACAATACAATTAATATTTACGAATGTTATTATTTAAATTTTAATGTCTAAATAAATGAAACTTATATATTTTTTTTGTAATATTTTTTTAAACAAGTAATTATCTTTTTAAATATTATCCCAGATAAACCACTAACATCTGCCCAACATCAACATAATGTCCCCATTTGATGTATCTTTGAGGACGTAAACAAAAAAGTAAAAATGTTATTGGTACAATGCCCACTTTTTTTTTTTTTTTTGATTTGATTGGCTACAGTTTTTTTAATATAGTTTTGATAGTCTGCTGTTAATTTGCCAGGGGTAAACAAAAATATGAAAATGACATCAGCACTTCTTGTTACAAACTTAATTTTACTGTACTTTTGACTGGTTCATATTTTATAGAGCTTAGCAAAAAAGTTTGCCTCACTATGTCATGTTTGTATTTTCCCTTTTTTTGATTCCATTATCTAACTTATCTATTCCATTATTTATAAATCACTTATTCATCCTTGTATGGATTACTGTTATCATAAACAATGTACAAATATGTGCAATAATGTGCATTGTATACATAGTTAAACCATTTTAGCAGTCAAATTTTAGTATACTAAGAAAATAGAAAACCACTGAACCTTTGGTTACAGAGTTTTTCTATTTTCTTGGTATACTAATATGTTGCTCAAACAAGCTATTATTGCTTGTTCTAGTTATCAAAAATTATATACAACTTGTCATTCGATTATATTTAACAAAAATAAACTCTGCGGAATTCTTTCATTGACATTTTTACCTGATTATAATTCTCTCTTTTCATTTTCACCTGATTCTTACAATTTGCTACTCTTTAAAGTCTACTGTTAACTTCTTTCTTGCTCTTTAACTGTTTTCACTAGTAGTTCCTAACCTAAATGGTGGTGGCTTTCAAGTTGATTAATGAAGACAAAACAGGGGAGAAACAAATTTAAAGCATTCGACTTATAGAAATAGACACTAAATAGAATATATGCTGTTTTAAAATAATAATTTAATCATAGCAGTAGGAAATGCCAAAAAAATACATGGTTAAAAGTTAAATTATTTTCAAATACACATTGAAAGATTGATTAAAAAAACAACAAAAACTATACTTTTAAATTATACTTTCATATATATATATATATATATATTTTTTTTTTTTTTTTTTTTTTTTTTTTGCAATAAAAATGAGCTTTGTTGTCTAACAATTTTTGTTAGACAACAAAGCTCATTTATTTATTGCAAAAAAATATTGCAATAATGTTAGTATTCCTATATTGATGAATAAACATGAAATAAAAATGAAAAAACATTCTTACTCTCAGACCAAGTCTAAAAGCACATTGTAAATATAATGTCGTGGTGTAGTGGTAGAGCACTTGCGTTATAAACAAGACGTACCAAGTTTGATCCCCACCACGTCCCTGGTAGTACCACGCTCAATTTGTTTCTTTGCGCAGCAGCCTTAATTGTCAAGGTTTGTGTTTCAGAACTATATAGTTGAGAGAGGGTTATAACTCTCTCTCAACTATATTGTCTGTAATGGCGTTTTCAGCCTTGGGGAGTTGAATTAACATAAAAAAAAATTGAAATAATAAATTAGACCTGCTTTATCTGCCAAGCTGGAGCCACTCTTCCATTTTTGTAAGGTTGCATTTCTTTTTTCTACAAGTACAATCATGGTCAATGCTCAAACAAGATATCATCTCTATTACACTAAACCAAAACTTATTCTTGGTTGTTTCTTGTTCTATAAGTTGCATCCTTTTACTGTACCTGTCCCTTCATGCTATAAAAACTTTTATTAATCCAGTTTTTTTCCTTGCACATCAAAAAAACATTAAAATTATTAGCCATATTCATGTTTTTCTTTTATATACAACCTACAACTTTTTAAGTCTTCAGTTAACCATTTTCTAGTATTTTTACTTATTCTGTATTTTAAAGTAACTCATAACTTAATAGTGGTTGCTTGCAATCTTGTTGGAAGTAAATTAGAGTTTGATAATATATAAATATATGCCCGAATTAATAGTAAATGTAAGCATAAAATTATAATATATAAAATATTATAAATTTTTTTCTATCTCTGGCTATTAACCTTATAAATCTTATAGTTTAGTCAGGGCTGGGTTTGAATAAAGTCTCCTTTTTAGCTGGGGCCGGGGCCCTGATCACTATATATATATATATATATATATATATATATATATATATATATATATATATATATATATATATATATATATATATATATATATATATATATATATATATATATATATATATATATATATATTCAAATAATTTTTAAATGTATTTTATAATATAGAGTGTTCAATGTTCTTAAAACAACAGAGCAATAATAAATTATTGTTTCTTATGAGTCTTAATTGATGAAATACAGTATGTGTATATATATATATATATATATATATATATATAATATATATATATATATATATATATATATATATATATATATATATATATATATACTGTATTCCTAATTATTATTGTAAACTTGGTGTTTTTAAATTAACCCAAAAGTTTTCAATTGAACAAGTCTTGGGTACATTAGCTCAGTTCTCAGTTTAATTTTACTTAATTTTTTTACTGTCAAGAAATGCTGTGACTTTTATCATAATGAAGTTGGTCATAAGAGTTTTTTAATTTTTTACAACTGCCAAAATGGAATTAAAAATTGGTCATTTTTTTTGAGTAAAGATGTTGATTGACTATTTTAATGGTACCTTGAGTTAAAAAAAATTACTGAAACATAAAGTATATTTGACTCAAACCTGGAATTTGAATTATGCTTTACATTTAAAAAAAAAATAAAAATGATGATCAGGAAAAAGGAAAATATGACAAAAGTGAGGCAAGCATGACAAAGGGAAGCAAACAAGCACATGCTAATATTCTAATGAATTCAATGTTTTTCAGGAGATTAGCAAAAGATAAGACAACTTAATGATTAAAGATTTCCCAATCGTAAAGAAAAATAATTAATATTAAATATAAAAATAATATATTAAAATGTTTTCCAAACATAAACAGTGCTTTAAAATATTTTATTTTTCATTCTAATTGATTTACTTTGATCTCTGTGTTCATTTACTTTGAGTGTTAAATCAGTAAAAAAAATTAAAATTATAAAAAAACTAATGATCTAAATGATTAGTTTTAATAATAAAATGTTTAATTTTTTTTTAGGTCATCAGTGGAAAGCATTTCTATTGGGTCATCCTTATCAGAGAAAAGTATTTCTGTTGAATCATGTTCATCAGAAGAAAATACTTTTGTTGGGCGTCTTAAGAAATCTAATAGCAAATTGTCTAAGGTAATTATAAATTGAACTTTACAAAGGGTAAGTCTGTTATAATTGTAAAAAAGAAATATTTGAAAAAAAAAATGTTTGCATATACAAAACATTTTATCTTTAAATAAACAAGGTTGTTTTTTTGTAAAAAGTTATTTTAACATTTTATATATGATATGCATTAGCCCATTAACTTTTTATTAAAAACAAATTATTTTTAAAAAACTTTAAATATAATAAAAGAAGCATGTTGCTATGATTATAAAATTGTATTATGGTATAGTTATAAAGTTGTTGCTGTAGTGAGAAATAAAGGTGTTACTAAAGTGAAATTATAAACATGTTGCAACAGTGATATTATAAAGGTGCATGTTGTGTAGTAAAACTTATAAAAGTTGCTATAGTAAAATCATAAAGCTATAAGTACTGGGATCATAAATGTGCGCAGGATATTAAACTAGGTTGTTATATGGATCATAAAGTTTGTAATTTATTTTGATTTAGTTTAATTTTAATGTGATTAGATCAATTTTCTGATTAAAATTAATACTTTTGAATTTTTTTTTTTTTTTTTTATTTATATTCCCAACGTTTATGCAGAATAAATTCTTCAGTTGTATTTTATAAAAACAAACATTTCTGTCCTGAAAGTGTTAAAGTTGATGCCTCTTTGAGTTAGAAATTGTGATTGGTTAGGTTGTTAGAAGAAAAAGCAAAAACAATTTAAAAAATGAAATTTAAAATGATAAATATTTAAACCTTGAGTATATAAACTACTGTTTAAATATTGCTGACATGAAAGTGTTGTTAGAGTTGACATTCTGTTATATTGAAGTTAAGTTAAAAGTTGTCATTAGGATACAAAAGTACTTTTTTAAGTTGCAGTTTATCTGGGAGAGTGTTATAAAATTTAGCTATAGCAAAAAAAAAATTTCAGTTTCCAAAAAGTAGTTTTACTTATGGTCATTGGATTGAAACACTTTTATTTTTTTGTTTTTTATTAATGATTCCTGGTTTTGAAATATTTATTTAAAACTATATAATGCCATAGAATATCATCATGTGTATTATTTTTTTATAATTGAGTTTATTAAGTTGTTCAGTTTAAGTGGTTTATGTGATAAATTACATATAGACAGTTACGTATAAAAAAAATGTGTGCAAATATATAGAAGCTCAAAACAATATTTTAAAGTCATAAAAATAAATAGTTTTAATTGTAAAATGCACTCCAGTTTTTTTAATAAGTTATTATTTTCTACTTTTTTACATTTAATAAACTACAACATTAAAAATTTCTTTACTCTAACAATAAAATATTTATCATGTAAAATGAAAGCTCTTTTTTTTTTTAAATTTAAACAGATTTTATTTAAATTAAAATTTATTGAAACATTGTAAATTTCAGATGATTCTTAACAATATTTTAGAAAATTCTTAACAATATTTTAGAAAATTCTTAACAATATTTTAGAAAATTCTTAACAATATTTTAGAAAATTCTTAACAATATTTTAGAAAATTCTTAACAATATTTTAGAAAATTCTTAACAATATTTTAGAAAATTCTTAACAATATTGAAGCTCTTTCGTTAAAGATCAACACACTTGGTGATTCTAATGGATTGACTGGATTTTTACTTTGTCGTCGGGGAGCTCTTTATAGAAAAGTTAGTAACAGTTTTCCTGACAATATCCTGATAATAAGTTCATATATTTTATTTTGAGAAAATATAAATATTTGGTGTTCAGATAAAATATCCAATTAATATACTGTGAATTATTATTTCTTTATTTCTTTATTTACTTTCTCTAAAGCTGAAATATTTTGATTGGATCACCCTTTACAAGGCTGAAGCAGTGACTACAATTAAGGCTCATTTTTGTTATAATTGCTTTTTTAAAATTAATGTTACAACTTTTTCCTGTATTTTTTTCCACAAATGAAGTATGAGTCTTTTTTTAATAATAAAACTTTTATTTTATTCAATGAAAAACTGTGATAAAACTCATGGATCCTAAATAACTTGCAATGTTATCACAAACTAATATTTTTTAACTGCAAATTAGTTTTGATAATAGTTGCAAACTTTTGCTAATGTTTATTTAAAAGAACAATATTTAGTTGTTACTAAATACTTTATCAATACTTTGAAAAAGGAACCTCATCTTTAAAATAGTAAAGATTTTAAAATAGTAGCAAAAAAAAAAGGTTAAATTTAGTACATTCAATAAATTTAGAAATTTTTTTGATTGCAAAACTATTTAAAAAAAAAGGAATAGAATATGTTAATTTCGTTTTACTTTTCTGTATTTATTGTGCTTTAGCTTATTGTACGTTGTTAACTTAATATTAAATTAATATTTTTACACTTAACTTTTTTTTGTAAGAAAGCTTGATTAAACAAAACTTAATTAATCTTGTTTGTGTTTGTGACTTTTGCGTTCATATAAATATTTTTCATCAAAAATTATCTGTAAACAAAATTAGCAAATTTTTTTATTAATAACAGATTAGTACAAAAGTTCAAGTGACTCCACCCACATCCTACCGCAGATATATCAACTGGTGTAGTGAAACATGAATAGGTGTAACACTGTTTTCAAAAGCTGATTAACTATAGCTAAAAAATGTTAATAGAAATAAAAATTTGTGAATGTCAGCCTGGTAAGCTTCTGACTAGCACTTTTTTGTGCACTTGCATTAAATTACAAAGATGCGAAACCAGTGTTCTTTCACTATCACATTTTGGTTGGTTATGCACAGTTATTATATTATATAGTTGTTTATACAAAATTATTTTAATGATTTTTTTAGATTGGCTATTTAAGTGATTCTTACGAGGATTTAAATAGGTATTTTCCTACAATAGATTGTTTACTTGGATATTTTTACTGTTCATTTTATGGCTACACAGTAGTACTGTTGTTTTTTTTTGTTGCTGTTTTACTATAACTGTTATTGTTATTTTACTATTAATGTTTTGTTTTATTTTTTTTGCTTTAATTTGTTTTTGCTTTAGTTAAACACACTTAACCTTACTGAAACAAATGGATTGTTTGTACAAATCCAGTAATTAAGTATGCATTTCTGCATACTTTTTGGTTTTAGAGGGCAAACTGCTTATATAAAATACTGCATACTTTTTAGTTTTTAGGCAAACAGAGACTTTTAATGTAAAAAATATTGAAAGAAAAACATTTTTTAATTTTTCTTTTTATAACTTTTTTTTCATTCTAATTTACTGTCAACAAGGCTGTAAGCAACCTCTCTTAAGTTAAGAGTTACTAGAAAGAAAAAAAGTATTATAGAGCAAGGAAACGGTTGACAGAAGACTTGAAAATTTGTAGGTTGTATGAGTTAGAAAATCATGAAGATAGGAGAGAGTTCCAAAGGGTTGAAATGCGGGGGAAAGAACAAATAAAAGTTTTTAGAGCATGTAGACACAGATACAGTTAACAAATGAGACTTAACTGAATGATGAGTTAAGCGAGAATGAGTTTTAGTTGATGGAGCAAGAGATGATAGCTCCTTTGAGCAGCAAACATGATAGTATTTGTAAAAAAGAGAAAAAGATGCAACTTTATGATGATGGGAAAGCGGCTCAAACCTAGCAGAGCTGGTCCAACTATGTTTAAATGTGTTTTTGGAGCATCATTAGAAGAAATAGCCCAAATATGGCAGCAGTACTCTATACAGATTTTTAGAAGTAGAGAATGGAATCAGAAGTAAGAAAATGGCAAGCACGATAAAGAGAAGCAACCTTAGCAAATGCTAATTTAGCAATCGTTTATTCTCAAGTGAGTTCTTTGGAAAAAGATGAAAAAAATAACTACAACTAGATGTAGCAGCTGTAATAGAAGGTAAAAACCATGAAGTAGAATGAGGCTTGACTTGAAATTGACAAGAAGGAATAAAAGCTTCTATTCCTGTTTGATTCAGGAGGTTACCTACGAGGCACATTTATCAGCTGAGAGAGAAAAGACATCAGACCAAGGACCGTCATGAAGAAAATCACAAAAAGAATCCCAGTCACTTTTAGGGTAGTAGTAAGTAGTGCGATGATAGGGTGAGTTGGAAAAGAAGTATGAGATAAAAGATTCATAGAGATCATTGCATGATCAGAACCACCTAAAAAGGAAAAAAGAGAAACTGTACACAATCTGGGATCAAGTAAGTTTCAGGTTGTCAAGAAAACGAGTCATAAAGTTAACCATTAAAGTCACCAATAACAACAATTGGTGGAGGGACAAATAGAAAGGACATGGTCAATTTGATCAGAAATTACATCTAAAAGAGTGCAGTCTTGGAATAAGGAGATTGACAAAAAACAAAGAGAAAGGTGTTAAAAGGAAGCACATAAAAGAATAGTCAAAGGATTTGAACCTGATATCATGACGAACAGGTGAATTGATGTCTATATATACCCCCAAACCAAGCATGTGACTATTGGAGTATTTGCAAATCAAAAGGTAATACCCATCAACACTGAGATCATAAGAAGGAATAGCGAATTTAAACTAGTCTCACTAAGAGTAAGCAAATCTGGTGAATTTTGTAAGATGTATTCAACTGATAAAAGGTTGCTTTGCAGACTATATTTGTAAAAAATATATTCAAATAGTTAGGTGATGGCGATCTTTTTTTATGTTTAATATTTTAGGTTACTTTTTACGTGATTAAGTTTAAGAAAAACTTGACTCATTCATACATAGCATTCATTCATACATAGCATGGCCTCTTAAGATTGAGCTATCCAGTTGTCTCTGTTAAATAACCCTAAGTCATAACGTAGGACTCCTTATGTGGCCTCAACAATGCTCATCAAAAGCATTAACAGGGACACCATCCATACGTAACATGGCACTGTTAATACTCTGATATTTTGCAGCTGTTGATGGAATCAGTCTCTCTGAGAGCTACCACAGAGTTCGGGAAACCTTACTACCAGCCAGCCTTAGTACCATTAAACTGCACCCTCATTAGGAGATAACAGGAAGAGTTGCATAGCCATTATCAAGTATGCACTAGAAAAAACCTATGAGTAAAGTCAAGAAGATCCAATATTCATCATCCTAACAGGAAACAATGTAATACAGGTTTACATTTATGCTAGCCTAATAGATAAGGAAAGGGTTCGAGATTGGTTAGCAGAATTATTCTGCTTACCTTTAAAGTCTTTGCCTAGGAGGTCTTCTACAAGACAGTAGATGGATGCAGTTAACATCTGTCCAAGATGAGTATTTTTATTGAGACCCAAGGAAGGTGTTTTTAAAGTTGAATTTTGTTTCTCCTAGTCTTTGCATTAAAAACCACACCTTATTAGGCAGCAGGGCATGGGACAGGTAGTATTGGTCTACATGATACCAGTGGCAGGTTGATCATGATGATCCTGAACCTGACCTGATCTGGAGTAGTTAAAAGGAGGTTAGGTTTATAGTTGGAGTAAATAGTTACTGCGCTTACACTGCATCAGTTATTTAAACAGAGGAAAGTAACTTACGGGTGAATAAACACTGTGTCAGAGGTTTAGGCAGAGCACAAATATACAGATTGCATCTTCTTCATCCAAAACTGCATCAGACACCTCCAACTATATAAAAGATTCATAAAAAATAAATAAACAAATAAATTTATATATACATATTACTATAGTAATATATATATATATATATATATATATATATATTACTATAGGCATGACCGATAATAAATAGTACTGATGTCAGTAAGCACACTCCTTCAAGCCTTTGCTTAAAAAGCAAATCAAACAAGGCAGCAGGACATGTAACTGGTTGCATTATACTGCATATATAGTAATTGCTATACTTACCAACATATATACACTGTTTCAGTATTGCATTACTAATGATAATCTGACCTAAATAACATAATAAAGACCTAATTCTTTAATTAAGAAAAAAATATTTGAATTTTTGTAAAGTTTTTGTATTACTTAGTTGTTTTTTTTTTTAAATTCAGGTTTGAAAATTTATAACTTAACAATTTAATTATTTAATAAAAAGATGAATAAAAAAATTTAACAATATTATTTTATTAAGGGCTGAGAAACTCGAACCTAGGCTATTGGATATTTATTGGCAAAGACATTTGTTGTTTCTTGTTCAAGGAGATGCCGAGGTAATCATTTATTTTATTTTAATTCTTTAAGGTAAAAAATTCATAAATAATATTTAACCAAGTTTTTTTTTTTTTTTAGAAAGCACTAAATGATCTTTACCAAGTTACATTATGCAATAAAAATCATACATATGCGCACTGGTCAAGGTTTTTAGTTTAGTTGTACCTTGCTGACCCTTTTTTTGGGAGATAAGTTTTAGTGAAAATGATGATGATGATGATTTTTGATATTTAGAGCTTTAATTTATAAAGACCAAGGCAAAATACTTCAAGCTATTTCCAGTTTAAACCAAGTACAAAATTTTTATTTTATGTTTTTATTTAACATTAGGCTTTAAAATATATAAATTTTTTTAAATATGAAAACTGTTTCACAATTAAATAAGTTGACTTTTTAAGGCAATTTTAAGTAACTCGTTTATTGCAAATTTATACAGTGAAAGAGCAGAGCTTCATGAACAGGTTTGTATTTAATTATTTATTTTGTGTTTAAATTTCTTTTTATTTTATATTTTAAAAACATGGTTACTAGCTGTTATGAACATAGTTTTTGCCTCAGTACTACAAGCTTTGCCTCAGTACTACAAATGATATTTTTTGTTAGCATTTATGAAATAAATAAATAAAATAAAAATATCTTTAAAAAAATATTTAACTTTTTTTTTTTTTTTTTTTTTCAATTTTTTATAATATATATTAGTATTACACTTTGATTAGATTTATATAACAACTATTTATCGAGAAAATAATATATATTTACTATATATTGTAAATATTTATTATATATATTTTATATAATAATAGTTTTAAATTAAAATGCAAGAAATATTGGTGCATTTTAATTAAAATTTTACTAAAAATAAAAAACTTTTTTTAAAATAAGTTTTGTTGCCAACAAATTTTTTTATAAGATTAATGATCACATAAAATATAACAAAAGCTCTTTAAATATTGTTCCACTTTTTGCTAAGAAATTTCTAAACTGCATTATTTATTGTACTTAACACTTCAATCACTGATTTAATTTAACTTTAAATAAAAAATAGTTTTTAGTTTAACTAAAAAGTTAAACTAAATGTGTTCAAACATATCAATACTTAGTGTGTGCATGCATTGGATTCCATTAGAAACAAATAAAAACTATTTCTTTTTTGTTTATTTTTTGTTATAACCTTGTAGAAGAAATTCAGAAAATTGAAGAAACTGATCAAAAACTGGAACATCTCTGGAACAATAAGTTTAGATTTTTTCAGAAATAAGAACTCTAATTTCTGAAAAGATCTAAACTTAACATAACAGTTCTGAAAAAATCTAAACCTAACATAATAGTTCTGAATAGGTCTAAATCTATTATAGATCTAGATAATCTTAAACTTTTTTTTTTTATTTATGCAAGATTTCTAAAATTTTTAAAAAAATTTTGTTGTTTTTTAAGCATTTTTTCTTAGCCTAAAAATATATGTACACTGTTGACTAATTAAATATAAGCACTGTTTTGCTAATTATTAAAGTTATGAATAAGGACTCTAAAAATATTATTCCTAAAAACCCATCATTACCACCATATTGTTTCTTATCCTTTACAAGTATTTATGGCCTCCAAAATAACTTTCCATTCATCGGATCAAACTTTTTACACACTTTACCAGACCTACTTGCTCTTTGTGAGACTAATTTGAATTCAATTGTTTCATAATCAGATCTCAGTGTTGATGATAAATAGATGTATATGATAAATAGTCTGGGCATGCTTATATGCTTAGTCTGGGCATATAACTACATATTAATTTACCTATTTGTCATGAAATTGGGATTGAAGTCTCTGACTATTCTTTCATCTTCACTCAATCATCTTTCTTTATGTTCTTTATTGTTTTTGTTTTTTTCCCAGACTGCACTCTTTTTGATGTTGTTTCTGATTAAATTGACCAATATCTTTCACTCTATCCCTCAGCCAATATTGTTGTTAATGGTGACTGTAATCCTCACCTTACTCAATGGCTTTTGATTTCACTTAAACTTTTATCTCTTATTTCTACACCAGATTCATCTTGTATTTGTAATTTTTAAGTAAATACGTTTTTACTAATGCCAATTTTTAATAATACCTTTAGGCTGACTGGGATACTTTTTGTGATTTTTTTGTGAAGGTCCTAGACCTGATGTCTTTCATCTCTCTGCTGAAAATTGTCTGCTTTACGATTTTTTGGATTTTACCAGACACGGAATCTTTTATAAGGTGGAACCTTATTAGTTGCAAGTCTAACCTTTTTCTACACCATGGTTTCTCCTTAGTGTGCAGCTGCAATTTCTAATTGTATTCATGCCTAGATCATTTCCACAAGAAAAACTCTCTGTAGCGCAAGTTTTACTATTCAAAAAATCGATGCAAATAAGTTGTCAAGCTCCATGTCAGATTACTAAATCTATTATATAATAAAATCTATTATATAACTAAATTTATTTCAGAAATTTCATTGGTCAAATCATACATGGGGTGTATTGTTGTTGGAGAGCTTTTGAATTAAAATGATGGGTACAGACATTAATGATAAGTCTCACAAAAAGTGTTATGTTTGTTATACAAAAGTGAAAATGATCACCAAAAGACCTTTTTTCAATCATATTCTGAGTTACACATTTTCAAATCATGTGGTTATGGTGTAGTGGTAGAGCGCTCGTTTCATAAGTGAGAGATTCTGTGTGCGATCCCCACTATGTCTCTGGTAGTACACGCTCAACTTGTTTCTCTGCGCAGCGGCCTTATTTGTCAAGGTTCATGTTTTGGAGTTATAAAGTTGAGAGAGGGTTATAACTACAATTAAGTAACCTCCTTGTCTGTAGTGGCCTTCTCCTCCTTGGGGAGGTGAATGTCAACATATTCACAAATTTGTTTTCTTTTTATTATGGGGAAATTCCTCATTTTTTGACTGTCTATACAAAAAGCTAAATATTTTTTGACTGGGTAATCAATTTTATTAAATTTTTGTATAATTTCAAAATTTAATATTGAAAATAACAGGTGTTCTCTAATTTTTATTTAAGATTAAATAAAAAATCTTTTTTTATTTCAACACGACATATTTCTATTGATGTGACTAAAGCAAAAAGTAAAATTTAGGTTTTTTTTTCAATAATCTAAAAACCAGTTTCTCTAAGAATACAAAAAGGTTTTCCCTATGAAATTTTAAAAGTATTTTATTTTATAACCTCTGATTATTTAAAGCAATATTAACTTTTAGACTTTGATTATAGGAAATTCAGAATTCCAGTTATTGTTTATTAAAATATTTAGTTTTCTAAAATCCAATTTTAAAATCAATAATTATTATTCATAAGACGTTTTTTGATTGCTACTACACCAATGTGAAAAAAAAAAGTAATAAATTATGTTACTGCTAAAATCTACCAAAGCTTACTAAAATACACTTACCTTGTTTACTAAAATACAGTTTCCTTACTTTTTAAAATACAGTTAAATAATTATAAACAATAATAAAATAGTTTTAATAAGCACTTAAAAAAATCTTAATTTGGTGTACATTTTGATTTAAAAGTTTATTATAACTGTTTGCGAGTTAGTAATTATTCAAAAGTTAGTAGTTATTCAAAAGTAAGAAATTGTTCAGAAGTTCGATAGTTTTTACAGTAATTCTACCAGCAATTCTGTCAGCAGTTCTACCAGCAATTCTACCAGCAATTCTACCAGCAATTCTGCCAGCAATTCTACCAGCAATTCTACCAGCAATTCTACCAGCAACTCTGCCAGCAATTCTACCAGCAATTCTACCAGCAATTCTGCCAGCAATTCTACCAGCAATTCTACCAGCAATTCTACCAGCAATTCTATCAGCAATTTTACCAGCAATTCTGCCAGCAATTCTACCAGCAATTCTACCAGCAATTCTACCAGCAATTCTACCAGCAGTTCTACCAGCAATTACCACCTTTATAAATAAAAATGATTATTTAAAGCATATTTATCAAAATTTGTTTTTGAGCTTTCTTATTCTTTAATTCTCATATTTATTTTCAGTTAACTTTATTAGTAGTTGTTTGCTGCCTTTTCTTTTTTTTTGAAAACATCTTCGCTTCCAACAAGGCTGCAAGCAACCACTAATTAGTGTTGGAAGTTACTGAAAGAGAAAAGATGAAGATTGTAATGCAAGATAACGATTGACAGATGACTTAAAAGATTGCAAATTACATGAATCAGGAAAACAAGATGAAGGAAGCTAATTCCAAGGAACTGATGTTTGAGGAAAAAAACTAGAGGAATAAGAGTTTTTGGTGCACTTAGGAACAGAAACAGAAAAAGGATGAAATTTAATTGAATGACTAGTAACATCAGAATGAATTTTAGTAGATGGCACAAGAGACGCTAGCTCTTTAGAGCAGTGCCCATTATAGTATTTGTAGAAAAGAGAAAGAGAAGCAACATTACGACAATGTGACAAAGGTTGAAAGTTGGATTCAAGAGCAGGTCTAACTATGTTTACAATGCGTTTTTGCACCTTGTCTAAAAGAGAAAGGGCATCATTAGAAGATCCGCCCCAGATATGGCAACAGTATTCTATACAAGGCCGGATTTGAGATTTATAGAGATAGAGAATAGAATCCAGAGTAAGAAGTGTCAAGCTTGATAAAGAGATGCAACTTTAGTAGATGTTAATTTTGCAATGGATTTGATATAAGGTTTCCAAGAAAGATCAGAAGTAAGAATTAATCCTAGAAGATAAAGGGGAGATGACTCATCGAGTACATTACCATTCATAAATATAGGAAGGTCTAAATTATTGTGATAACGATTGGCCGAAAAAAATTGAGTTTTATCTGAATTAAAGTTCACCAGCCACTGTGAGCCCCATGCTGTAGCAGAAGAGAGATCCTTTTCAAGCTCAAATGCCCCCTGCAAGCAATCAGAGGGTGTTGGCTTCTTATTGTGACAAGAATAAATGGTAGTATCATCAGCAAACAATGCCACCTTAGATGTAAGAATATCTGGAAGATTGTTAATGTAAATTAAAAAGAATATAGGGCCAAGGATTGAACCTTGAGAAACCCCTGAGGTTACAGAATAAGAAGAAGAGTCCTGTCCATCAAGGACAACTTTTGTACTTCGATTGGAAAAGAAGGATTCAATAATCTTAAATATGTTTCCAGATACACCATAAGAAGAAAGCTTATGTAGAGGACCAGCATGCCAAACTTTATCAAACACTTTAGAAATGTCAAGAGCGATGATGGAAGCAAATATGTTTTTAAAAAATCTTTTTTATTTTTGAAATAAAAACTGTGTATTATGGGACTTTTTTGAGATGTTGGTTAAAAACAGTTCTTGGTGCTCTGGTTAAATAAGCACCATATATTGAGCCTCGCTCTGCTCCATATATATTAAGCCTCACTCTACCCCATGTAATGTTCACTCTACCCAATGTAATGTTCACTCTACCCCATGTAAT